AAAATTATATTGCAAATTCATGCAAAATCTTTCTTCAAAATCACTTGCCTAATTACACAAATCAATTCTTCAGACTGAGATTCCAGCTCCAAAATAGAAAGTACAGATGTTTCAGACGCAGTTGCCTGAGTAAGGTGGATATCTCAGGGTGGTCTGCCCTGGCCTCTGCTTCATAATGTCAGAGATCATAGAAACCTAGTCTTTGAGAACCAAGTGCTGCTCCATGAAGAGGTCAGCACAGTGTCTAGGACATCTATCTCTATATCTGGTCCTTTCTCCTTTTGCAGGCAAAATGAATAATAAACCCTTCACCCAGGGAGTGTTGCAGAATCTGTTAGTTATGGAGCAATTAAGTGTTCCCTAGCAGCCACAAACAGACGTGTGGATGCTGTTATACTATGATCCAAATAAATCATTGTCATTGTTCTCATTGCTAACAACACTATTCTCATTGTTGTCATCATTTATTTATTTATTTTGGTTTTTGAGACAAGGTCTCATTATGTAGCTCAGGCTGGCCTTGAACTCATGGTGATCCTCCAGCCTCAGGCTCCAAGGTGCTGAGATTACAGGCATGTATCACCATGCCTAGCAGTCATCATTGTTTAAGAACCTTGTGATCATTTGGATGGATGGAACTGGGCTTGGAAGGCCTGTGTGCTAAACTGACTTGGCCTTTAGCAGGTTGTTTAATCTTGGCAAGTTGCTTTCCTGCTCTGGATTCTATACTATGCGTGGTAACTGAATGGATGGTCTAGGTGAGCCCCTAGAGACATCCGGGGCCTCTTCTCGGCATTATCTACTGTCACACACTTGTCTGTTTTCATACTTCATGAATCTTTAGGGGTTTTGAGGGCAAAGACCTCTCATCTTGTGGACCGCAGTACCTTTCAGGGGGCCTGCCTGTGCCTGTCTTAACAGTATGTACCTAATACTCACTGGCTGGTGCTGATTATGTCTGGAGATTGAGGGAATGGAGGAAACAGAGATGTGAGGAGTCAGAACAATACTGTGGCAGTGTATGGCAAGAACTGCATTCTCAGCCCTGGTGTCTACACCAGTGTGTCTGTAAGATGCACTGAGTAATATCATGGCCAGAGTTTCCTACATCAACTCTTGCTTCATAACAAACCATCCCCTTAAAGCTCATTAATGGCTGAACATAACAACCTAAAGTTTATGGTTTTCCTTTAGTCTATAATTTAGCTAGATGGTCACACGACCCGCACTGGGCCCAGCTGATCTCACTAGTGGTAACTCTTGCTTCTGTGGAAAGTTAGTGGACCAGCTGGGTTAACTGTCTGGGTGGCCTCAGTTGTGTAGCTTTTCCCCTTCTGTGTGGGCTGTTATCTGGCATCGCAGTCCAGGTTTGTTCACAAGGGTATATAGCCTTCTAAAAGTGACTAAAGTGTTACATGTGACCTTTAGGGTTCAGATTGGGACCATCACAGCATTGTTTCTTCAGCATAATCTTGGCAAAAGTGTCAAAGAGTAGCCCAGAGGAGAGGAGCAATAGATTATTTCTTCACCCTGGAGGTGAAGGGTCATGTACACAGAAGGGGGAAATTGTTGAGCCAGTTTGGAATCATTCTACCACAGTCAATCCTATGTCACATCCCTTCCACATATAAAATACATTACACTCTCATAAGAAACACACACACACACACACAAATGTTTCATGCAAGCAAGGCATCACATACTAAATCCAAGATTGTGTGATTTATATCAAGTTTGGCACCAGATCTTCTTGATCCTGAGAAATGTGAACTTTGAAGCCAAGTTATGAGATCCTACACATCCCACATATAATATCTCACCAGATAGTAACCAACAATGAAGCACTCCTTTACATAAGTTGAAATAATTGGTAATACAGAGTAATGACTGGTCTACAGTACTTCTGAAATCCTACTGTGTAAATGGTGGTATTATGTGAATAGGCCATGGTTCTACAGAAGACTTATCTATTAATTTTCACAGATCTTGTGTCTCTCATTTGAGACATTGTTCATTTGCTATTATCCTCTTTGATTATGTGTAAAGTAGTTACCTGTCCTGGCAATGAGTTGCTTAGTAAGACTGACTCTTGACCTCAGGAAAGAAGGCTAGAAATGACCTTATAGTTTGAAAAAAATCTCAATCCTTTTTTTAGGCTCTAGAATCATTTTGGTAGTTTAACTCCCTTAAAAACTCTGGGGGCTTTCTCTGTATCCAATTATTATCTACTTCATGCTTCAAAATCCCCGTCTAAAATGGCTTCTGTGACAGACTCCCTCTTTGATGTTATTGCTTGTTTGGAGTTAGTCTTCCATGTTCTTTTTTTTTTTTTTTTTTTTCCTCTCCTGTACTGGAAATCAAACTCAGGACATTGTGCTTGACAAACAGGGATGGTGCCACTGAGCTAAAACCCCAGCCCTGAGTCTTCTATGTTCTTAAACTTCCCTTTAGTGGAACTAGTAAGGTCTATATAATGTAAATAAAGAGTCTTAAAGTCACTCATTGATTTTTTTCTTTATACTTAGGGATCATTTTATTTTATCTAAAATTTATATACAATAAAACTAATTTATCTTGCATGTATACTTCTGTGAACTATAACACACGCATACTCTTGCATAACCACCATCACATCCCAGTACATTCTCTATTGCAACAGAATACGAGATTGAAAAATATAGAGAGAAATATAGATTTATTTGGCTCATAATTCTGGAGTCTAGTAAATCCAAAGAGCCTGAAGGCAGTGACCAGAGAAGGCTTTTGTGTTGCATGGTCTGGTGATGGAAAAATGGAAGGCCAAGTGAGCATATGTGGAAGAGACAGAGGAAGAGAGACAGACTAGCTTTTCATCAATTGCTCTTGCAGTAGCTAACCAACTCTTGTGATAATGACATTAATCTACTCAGGAGGGCTTTGCCTCCATAACACAATGCCTTCTTACCAGATCTAATCTCCAAACCCTGCTGTGTTGTAGATTACATTTCCAACGCATGAATTTGGGAGATATGCTCATGATAGAAATAGAAGACCATTCAATCTCCCTAATAACACTTTGTTGTGTTATTTTTTTAAAGACACATTTTCCTCCAGTCTTAACTTTTGGTAACAACTAATCTGCTTTCCATTCCTCTAGTTTGTCTTTTCAAGAAAGTCAAATAAATAGACGCATGTGGCCTATAAGTATACACCACTAGATTTAGTGTAATGCCTTCAAGTTTTTGTTTGTATTAATAATTCTTTCACTTGAACTGATAAGTAGGATTCCAATGTATGGATATACCAGTGTGTAAGTAACATTCATCCATTTGTGTTGCTATTGTGGAACAATTATGAATAGGACCTCTGTAAACATTTGTGCACAAGTCTTAGTATGGACGTAAGTGATATAAAAATGTCTAGGGTAAATATTTATGAGTGAGATTCACATGTTATGGGGTTCATGTGTATGTTTGACTTAAAATGATTACTGTTTCCCACAGTACTTATAGTATTTTACATTCCCATCAGCAATGTATAGCGTTTCAGTTGCTCTCCAACTTCACTAACATTTGATTGTGTCAGCATTTTAAATTGTATCCAATGTACTATGTGGATAGTGATTTCCATTTTAGCTTTAATTTACATTTCCCCAAGGTCTAGTGATGAACATATTTTTATTGACTTATTTTCCATCTGTATATCATCTTCAATGAAATATTTGCATTTTTTATTATTTTCTCATTGGATTATTTGTTTTTCTTTTGAGATTTGAGTTTTGTATATATATTACATATGAGTCTTTTTTCACATATGCTATTTGGAAATATGTTTCCCAGTTTGTAGCTTTTTCTTCATCTTCTTAACAAGATTTTTTACAAGGCAAACATTTTAAATGTTTATGAAGTCCAATTTATTGATATTTTTCTTTGATAAATCATGCTATAGGTGTCATATCTAAGAATTGTTCACCAAGCACTTTGTGTTGAAGATTTTCTTATGTATATTCTTTTTAGTTTTATAATTTTATTTTTAAATCCATGGTTGATTGTGAGTTAACTTTTGTATCAGCTGTGAGTTTTAGATTAAGATAAGCATGTATGAATGGATATATGGTTGTATGGATAGATGTGAACACCTAATCTCCAACATCATTTATTCCTTTAATTACTTTTGTCCCTTTTACATAAATCTGTTGGTTGGAATCAGCATGGGGCTATTTCTGGGTTCTCTATTCTGTTTCACTGATCTATCCATGGTTCCCTCCACAAATATCATACAGCCTTGATTATTGTAGTTACACACTAAGTCTGGAAGTAGGACTGTGTAATTTCTCTAAATTTATTCTTTTCTTTCAGAATTATTTTGGTTACTCTAGTTCTTTTTGGTTCTCACATATGTATCTTAGAATAATCTTGTCTATATCTAGAAAAAAATCTAGCTGGGATTTTGATAGGAACTGAGTTAGATCAGTGTATCAATTTAGAAAGAACTGACGTCTTTACTACGTTTAGTCTTCCAAATTAGCAAGATAGTAAAAAAAATATGTACACACACACACACACATATTATTTATTTCCACATGTTGAAAACTATAATTGGGCATTTTTCACCTATAAGGATTTCCTAAGCATTTTTCATGAATTTGTTGAGAGTTCCCCCACTATATTTTCAGACTCCATTGTCCATCCAGTCCCAGAGCCAATGTTATACCCTACAGACATTTGTTGCATCAGCACTTCACTTTCATTTTTAAAATTTTTATTAGTACATATTTGCAGTATATTCATCTTGGGGACTTGGTACATGTACATAGCACATCTTAATTCTTTTTGTATCCCCTTCCCTAACATCTCTCCTCCCTTTCTCCATCTATTGGCCCCCTTCCCATTTATGAAAGATCTAGCTCCCTGCTTCCTGTTATCTATTGTCTTAGTCACTTTCACCATTAATTGAAAAAAGTATTAGATACCCACAATTTAAAGGAGGAAATGTTTATTTTGGCTCATATTTCAATCCAGGTCAGCCAGTTCTGAAGGATGAACAGCATGGCAGATGAGCATGGTGGAGGAGAGCTGCTTGTGTCATGGCAGAGTGGAAGCACAACACATCAAGGGAGAAGCCAGGAAGAAAAATATATCTTCAGGGTCATTTCCTATCAGACCTCAAATCCTAACACCAAGAAAGCTATAGGATCCCATAATCCAACCACCTCCCAAATGCCCCATCTATGAGCTTACTGGGGTTATGGGGGACATCAAAATATAAATTTTAACATCTACCTTTTATTTTGGTCTTTATTTATAATTTGGGTTAGTCATTTAAGAAGCCATGCAATATTTAAGGTTGTGTGTCTGGTTTATTTCACTTAATATTATAGTATTGAAATGCATCCATTTTCCTACAAATGACTCAAATTTATCCTTCTTTATAACAGAGGAGTATTCCATTGTGCATAAGAAGCACATTTTCTTTATCCATTTATCTGTTGATGGATGTATAGGCTGTTTCCAATATTTAGCTATTACGAGTTGTGCTGCTATAAATGTAGGCATGCACATATCATATAATATGATCCCTAACTCTTTTGGGAAGATACCTAGAAGGAGTACATCTGGGTCAAATGGAAATTTTATTTTTAAATTTTTGAGGGATCACCATAGTGATTTCTGCAGTGGTTGTGCTCGTTTGCATTTACATAAAAAATGTAGAGGTGTTTCTTCCCAACAGTCTCACCAGAATTTGTTGGTATTTAATTTCTTCATGATAGCCATTCTTCCTAGAGTAAGATGGAATCACAATGCTCTTCTAATTTCCATTTCTCTAGTGTTGAACATTTTTTGTATATTTATTGACCATTTTTACTTCTTCAAAGAAGTGTCTATTCATTTTCACTTGCCCATTTCTTAATTGAGTATTTTATTTTGAGGGGGTCTAGGTTTTTGAGTTCTTTATATATTCTAAAAATTTGTTTTTTCCTGAGGAGTAACTAGAAAAAATTTTTTTTCCATTCTGTAAGTTGTCATTTATTTATTGTTTGTTTGTTTGTTTGTTTGTTTGTTGAGACAGGGTCTTCCTGTGTAGTTTAGACTGGCCTTGAACTCACTATGTAGCCTAGGCTGGCCTCCAACTCACAGCTATCCTTCTGCCTCAGCCTCTCCAGTGCTGGGATTACAGGCCTGTGCCACTATGCCCAGCTTGTAGGTTGTCTCTTCACTTTGTTGGTTGTTTTCTTTGCTATACAAAAGATTTTCAACTTGATATTATCTCATTGTTGATTCTTGTTGTTATTTCTTAGGCAGTTGGGTCTGTTTGGAAATTCCTTGCCTATACCTATGTCTTCAGTAGTTTTACCTATTTTGTCTTCCAGCAGATTAAGTGTTTTTGTTTTAATATTTAGATCTTTAATCCATTTTGATTTTATTTCAATACATGATGAGTGAAATGGGTCTAGAATCAATCTTCTGCATGTATAAATATAATATATAATATTATATTATATATATAATCAGTTTCTCTGGAATCATTTGTTTAAAAGGCTATCTTTCCTCCAGCATATGTTATTGGCCCCCTTGTCAAAGATGCGGTAGCTAAATGTGCATAGGATTGTTTCTGCATCCTCTATTCTGTTCCATTGATCCATGTGCCTTTTTCACTTCTAATTTTATTAATAAGGGCCTTTTCTTCCCTCTTTAGTAAAATTGGTTAAGGATTTGTCTATTCTTTCAAAGAATGAACTCTTTGATTCATTTGTTCTTTTACTGATGTTTTTCTTTTCAATTTTATTAATTTCTGCTCTGATCTTTATAATTTCTTCCTTGTACTAGCTTTGGATTGTTCATGTATTTCTAGGAGAGTGAGGTGCATGATTAGGTTATTTATTTGAAGTTGCTTTGTCTTTCTGATGTGCATTCACAGCTATAAATACCCCTTTAGGACTGTTTTAATTTTTTCCCATAGGTTCTGGTATGTTGTACCAGCATTATCATTTGATTCTAAGAACTGTCTAATTTCTTCCTTGATTGCTTCTGTGACCTGTGAATTATTCAAGAATGTATTGTTTAATCTCCATGTGTTTGTATAATTTCTGTGGTTTCTTTGGCCCTTAATATCTAGTTATACTGTAACACTGTTTCATAATATACATGGGATAACTTGGATTCTCTTGTATTTATTAAATATGTTTCATGGGCTAATGTGTTGTCTATTTTGGAGAAAGTTCCATGTGCTGCTGAGAATAATGTTTGTTCTCTTGTTCTAAGGTGGAACACTTTATAGCTATCTATAATGACAATTTGTTTGAAAGTGTGGTTCAATATCATATTTGCTTGTTGATTTTTATATCTAGTTGATTTGTCTGTTTTTGACAGTGAGTATTGAGGTTCCCCAATTATAATTATGGTGTTGTTTATTTGCTCTTTTATGTTCAGTTGTATTTGTTTTATGAAATTTGATGTTCCAGTGTTTAGAGCACATATATTTGTGTTATCTCTTCCTGTTGAATTGTTCCTTTAATCAATATGTATCAACCTTCTGGTCCTTTTCTGATCAGTTTTGGTTTGAAGTTCACTTTGTCTGAAAACAGGATAGATACTCCTGCTTTTTAGGGGTTCTCTTTGCATGGAATATTGCTTTCTTTCCTTTGATTTTTAGTTATTAATTTCTTTTAAGATTAAATATGTTTATTTGTGTATAGAATACCATTTGGTTTTGTTTTTTGATTCAATCTGCCAATCTATGTATTCTGATTAGAAATTTGAGAACATTTACACTGAAAAGTACTGATTTATTCCTGTTATTGTATTATTTTCTTATTGTTAATCCCCCCCACCTTGCTTAATTGTTCATCCTACTTGGTATATTTATTCCATAGACATTTTGGCATTGTTAGCATCATTGTTTCTAGGATATCCTTGATAATTTTTTAGAGTGCTAGTCATGAATTGGTGGTCATGAATTCCTTCAGTTTTTTTTTTCTTTTAGTCATCGAAAAATTGTATTTCTCCATCTATTTTGAAATATTGGTTTGCAGGATATATTAGTGTGGTTTGGAAGTTATTTTCCTTTAAGGCTTGAAACACTTCACTCCAAGATTTCCTGACCTTTAAGGTTTGTGTTGAGAAGTAAACTGTAATTCTAATAGGTTTACCTTTATAAGTGATTTGTTGCTTTTTCTCTAAAAGCTTTTAAGATACTGTCCTGTGTTCTGCGATTTTGACTATGATGTATCATGGAGAACTTTACTGATTGTGGCTATTTGAGGTTCTATATGCCTTGCTTATCTGTGCATTGTATTCTTTTCCCACACATGGGAAGTTTTCTGCTATTATTTCTATAAATAGGTTTTTAATTGATATTTGTGCTGTCTTCTGATTTTTCACTACTTCTAATTCATCTATATTAATGTTCTTTGCATCATCTAGCAGCTGTTGGTTCCATTTTTTCATGTTCTCTTGTTGTTTTCAAGGTCTCTGAGTATATGGTCACTTGTATCAGCCCAAGCTTCTAGTTCTGACACTCTTCTCACATTGATCACTTCTTCTGTCCATATTTTTAATAGAACTTGTTTATCTCCTGGATTTCTGTTTGGTACCTTTTCATGGAATCTAGTTCTTTGCTAAAAGGTTCATTCATGTTTTGTATCATTTTATTTAGCTTAACTAGCTTTTTATTGGTGTTGTCTGTAAGCTCACTGATTGTTTTGTTTATTAAGGTCATTACAGTTTTTTATCATGTTTGAGGTCTCCAAGGACCTTTTTGATCTTTTTTGTTTGTTTGTTTCCTCTTTTATCATTTGTATAATTCAGCTGTTTGGCTTTGATTTCCTTCACATCAATACACCATGCAATTGGGAAGTTGGGAGTTTGGGGGGTCATTTTGTTGTCTTATTTTCTCTATTTTGTTGTCTTGTTTCTATTGTTCTTGTGTGTGTGTGTGTGTGTGTGTGCACACTGAAAGTTGCAGGTCAATTATAGCAGAAAGACTTTGTTGTTAGCATAGAGATCTCTTTAGTTAATATCGGATTTCCAGTGATCCACTCTAGGCCTTGGCAAGTATAGGCTTTTGCCTTTGTCCCAAGATCCAACCACCTCTGTTAATTTGGAGAGGAGAGGGTACAGTGTAACTGGCCCAACATTTAGTTCTATGGAAATGAACCATAGTATTTTTGATGACACAAAGTCAAAATACACATTAGCATCAGGAAAAACCAAGTAATAGCAATAACAATGTCACTTTGTCAATAGCAACAAAATCAGCATAATAAGGAGTCAAAGACAGACTATGGTAGTCAAAGAAAAACTTACGGTATTGACATACCATAAGAACTAATAAAAGCTACCACTATACCACTCATAAACATAGAAAAGAGATTTGTATTGTAATGCAGACACAAAGATAAACCAAATATTGACATACAGTAAATGTCTACTAAATGCAACAACTCTACCACCATTAACAATAGAAAAGAATTCAACATTAATAGCATAAAGTCAAGTAACTATCTGAAAAGTAATAAAGCTTAATAATAGTACTAATAAAATGGAGTGGTTCAGGAAGATGAAAATGAAAGTAAAATTTGAAGAATAAAGAAAAGGAAGCTAAGGAGAAGAGAAAAGTGACATAAAGGAGTCTATTTAATTAAATAAATTAATAGAATTAGATAAAAGTAAACAGAAAAGAGCAAACAACAAGAAGAAAAAGAAAAAAGAAAAATTTAAAAACTCCAATGACCCATAAAACAATGAAGAAAAAGATAAATGGCTCTCTCAAAATTCTTCCATGTTTTGTTTCTTTCCAGGTATGCAGTACTGGAATCCACCAGATATGAGGGAGGGATGAGGAATCACTACTCAGACCTATTTTTTTCCACTATCATATTTCTGTATGTGAATGCTGAATCCTTCCCTACCTGTCCTGTTGGGCATGGTCAGTCAATGGTGTCCACCCAGGGCTCTGCTCCCTCCAGCTACTCTCAGTTTCTGTGTCCCTTTGTGTACTTTAAGTCACAATTTTCTCCACCTGCCTTTATGATATGTGAGTTTACAAGGTGCTTCCCTGCTCCAGAGACCCCTCTGTTGGTATACCCTAGGCTATGGCAACTGTCTAAGCTAAGAAATATCCCTGATCACATTGGCAGATAGGTAAAGCAAACAGATTTCTGAGCTCTCTGTTGGATGTAGGCAGTAGGGTGGGGATGGAGAGTCAAGCAGTATGACAGACTTAATGACAGCACTTTCAGACCCAGCC